ATGCTTCAAGATGTTGTGTTTCCTTAGACAAGTGAATTTATTCTAAACGGGTCTCTGTTCACCCAGCGCAGCAAATGAGTATCAGCAGGATGAAATAGTAATGTGGCTATTAACCTTCTAGGACCTCATAAATACATTGGATATTAGCTGAGCAGAATGAAATTTGCAAACTGATCCATTCTTCTTCTTCATCATCATCATTATGATTATTATTATTAATTTACTCATGTACTTTGGAAGGGAAACTTTAAATGTTGAATACCACAAATAAGTTTCATGAGTTTGTATAAATAGATGTTTGTTAAGTCGATGTTATAGTTTTTCTGAGTCCTGCATATTTTAATATAATTCAATTTGTTACTACGGTAAAGTGGCACAGGAATGTCCATTTGTATTACATTTCCTATTCATTTAATGTTTAGATAGTGCTTAGATAAAACTAGTTTAATTGTAATGCAATTATTCCCAAATCCTGGGATCAATTTGATGAATGTAAATAAACTGAAGTACAAAAGAAAGTACACCCCCCACTATTCTGACAGTAAAAGAAGACAGGGCAAACTTTATTGTGATTGTAATGTCTAATGTCATTGTTGAGTCATTTTCAAACATGTTTAGAATGGATTTAAAGATTTGTGGCCACATAAAACTTTACAGTTGACAATAACGTCCATAGGCGGTCACTCATCAAAAATCACACTTGTAGAAATGATGACAGTCCCAGGTATGAAGGCCATGCGAGTGGTCTCAGTACCTCGTATGACCCCCATTTGAGTTAATGCAAGCCAGGACACGCCTTCTCATGGAAAAGGTCAAACGTCGGATGACGTCATTAGGAATCCGCTGCCACTCTTCTCGCAGAGCCTGTTCCAGCTGTGGTATGGTGGTTGGTGGCTGTGCACGTCGTCGCAACTGTCTACCGAGATGGTTCCACAGGTGTTCAATGGGTGACAAGTCCGGAGAGCGTGACGGCCAAGGCAAAAGCTGAATGTTCTGACGGTTCAGGAAGTCCATAGTGAGTCTAGCGGTGTGTGGTCGGGCGTTATCTTGCTGAAAAAGAAACCCCTGCCTTTGCCCCTGCATGAAGGGGATCACCACCGGCTGTAACACTTGGTCCCTGTACCTCTGGGCTGTCAGGGTCTGGTGGAGAATGACCAAATCCGTCTTCTGTTCGCCGCAAATGCCTCCCCAAACCATAACGCTGCCTCCGCCAAAAGGATGAACTTGTTGGACACATGCTCCAGCCAGTCGCTCGCCTCTACGTCGGTAGACTCTCACTCTACCGTCAGCATGGTAGAGGTTGAATCGACTTTCATCGGTAAAGAGGACTCGTGACCAGTCACGACGTTGCCAGCGTCTGACTCTTCTTGCCCAGCGAAGACGGCTGATACGGTGTTGAGCGGTCAAGGTCATCCCACGGAATGGTCGATAAGCCCGGATACCGGCAGCTCGTAGTCGTCTCATGACTGTGTTCCTGCTGATGTGGTGACCTAACGCTGTCGACGCTGTTGATGCCATTGTGAGGAATCTGTTGCGCAGGTGTAATGTGCGTATGTACCGGTCTTCTGCAGGGGTCGTCACTCTCGGTCTTCCTCTTCTTGGGCGGTCGGATGTCTGGCCAGTCTGGTTGACACGACGAAGGAGCCTGATAATGGTTTGCCTGGTGCAGCCAAGGGTCCTTGCGATGTGACTGTTCGACGCCCCCACTTGGGACATTCCCACGGCTCTCTCTCGCTCCTCTGCTGTTAAACGTGGCATTTGTCTTGTGTTTATTTTCGTTGAATGTGTAATGAACGATAGAATCCACTGCTTTTTATACTGTTTCTGCGCACATTGCACGTGCAAATGGAGAAAATTGCCATTTTCACAATGTGTGCTTTTGTTGCCTATCATAATGTCAAGGTTACGTTTCTGCGATATGCTCTCAATGGTTTTGTTCATTACATTACGATAGCGCCAAAAATGTAACAACTTTTTCAACCATATGCGTAATATATGATATTTTAGGGGTGTGTACTTTCTTTTGTACTTCAGTTTAATAGCTTTCGGAATATGTTTTAATTTCCATAAACTATTTTTGTTTCCTCTGAATTTAATATAAAACACTCAGTTTACACTGATAAAAGAATCATATTAAGAACATGATTGATCGCGGCCAAATACATATGGTACTCTATATGTAAATTAATGCGACAAAACCCTTTCCCTAACCACAAAACATATCTGTTAAAAATGAATACCATGTGTTCGCGAAAAGGTGAGCGTATTCTGCACCACAGGTGACAACCGTCACAAACACTTGAACAGGCAAGTCAAGTAATCACCTGAACAAATACGGGAACATATGGAACAAGTACAATAGGAAATTTTATAAGACATGATTTAGGTCACTGATACGTTTTGGACACATTTTGAATGGTTTACTTATGTCTAGAAAGCTGTAACACTGACCAAACACCTTTTGTGCAAGGATCTTAAGATGCTCCATGGACAATTTGAAGAAAGAACATGCTCGATGCTACCTCAAGAGTTGCCAAATGTAGACCAGAAAGGTTGGAGCTACTTGAAAGTTGACTATGGAAAGTTTAAGCCATCCCACATATATTCTTCTGGACAAGTGGGTCAGTGGAATAGAATTAGCTATTTAACCATCACTGAATGATATCAGATCATCGATATACCTGGAACGTGTTAAGTGGAACGTCTTAGTCCCATCTTTTGATTTTGCAAATCCGAGCACCCATGTTGGCAGAGATTGCTTATGAATATAGAAAAGGTTGTGTTGCTTTTATTATGCTTTATCTTTGAGACAGGGGTTTTGTGATTTATTTCCTAGTTCCCGCAATGTATCTCGCAATACATATTTACGGTTTTTATGGACCTCTGTTATCCAGTATTAGAGATGTCTTCAGGTTTTAGAGGCAACCCAAAAGCTTTAGGTACTGATTCGTAGTTTTGACGGAAAAACGTCATCGGATGACAGTGAGAAGAGGAATCGCAGTCAGCTGTATTCAATGTGTCCCAAAGCCTTTGGTACCGTTACCAACAATAGGACAATATGACCGACCCAGGTAAAGAAATGCGACAAAGTCCCTTCAATAATCTTAGGAAATCATTCATTCTCAAGGTAATGACAACACATATACATGTATCATGTACACCATTAGTCCGTTGCACGATTCCGACTAAATCCATGAATCACTATCAAATAGTGTTGATACCAGGTGTTCGCTTAAGGCGACCATATACTGCCCTAAGGTAGCACTCGACACAAACACATGCAAAGGCAAGTCAACTATTCACCTGAAACAACACGGGACCATACTTATGGTACAAGACAAAATATGCTGATGCTTCAAATTTGGATATGTCCCATCCTTCACCTCTCTTTCATATTACATTTTAAAAGCGTCACTGAGGCATTGCATGGTGGAAAGAGCATGTTCGACTGTACCTCTACAGTTATGAAAAGTAACAGTAAATGCTAGAGCTGTTGACATATTGCTCGACATAAAGGGAAAGTTGTCTTTTGGAAAATTGAAGTCATCCCTCTTGTCATACAGCCTTGTGGAGAGTATTTTGTCACTTTGAATCTTTATGCTTAGATATAGTTATGAGGCGGCCTCACTGATCTCTTTTATTTCTTGATCAGGTAGGTCAATCAATGGAAGGGAATTGGCTTTTTGATGGTTATTGAACGATATCAGATCATCGATACACCTGAAGCTTATATTAAACTTCCTGGCCAAATTTTGTCTTCACTTCGACAAACCGAGCAGAAATTCTGATTCATGTGCATGAAGAACCAGAACAGCAAGAAGGGGAGCACAATTGATGCCCATGGGAATGCCTTCTTCGTGCCTACATTGGTGACATTATGACTTTAAGGAAGCCTTTCTATTATTTCGCGTGGAATCAGACTCGAGGGAATTGCAGTATTTTATCTGGATGTTGTGTAGAATATGTATAATATAAAGCAAAAAATACCCATAATATTTAATCATACCAGAGAAGGATTAGACATCGTACCCAGGAAATAATATCTTCCTTCCGTCAATCCTTACAATGTTAGCAGGTTAGCAGGATAATTGGAAAGCAATGAGAAAATGTATGAAAAATAATCTCGACCTTATGGGGCTGTTGCATGTCGCAAGCATGTCGGTAGCAGGATACAAACGAAAATTATTTTGATAAGAAATGTCAGTCGAGGGCCATTTTTAGGCTTCTCTCTTGATCCTATGACGAGGGATGGGTATACGGGCCTTCTCGAACCCAAAAGAAATGTCAGTTACAAAGTCGAAATGAACAAAATATAATTATCATACATATGTCCACATCTAATAACCTTTATGAGATTTTTTATAAAGTTTCCCCAATTTCTTAAATTAAACAGGGCCAAGGAACCCTATTATCATACCTGGGCCGTCAAATCATAAGCGTCTTGTGTTTGGTGCTAATGTGGCCATGGTGGAGTAAGCCTGTGTGGTTGTATTATACTATATTTTCAAAAAATATTTCGTTGATTGATCCCTGTAATTGACATCAAACATTTGACGATTGAAGCTTCAAAGTGGACACTGCTGTGTTGGGGCAGGTAGGTTTTGGGTTTTATCTTTTCTCAGCAGCATTCAGTTATATCATGGGAGCGAAATATTGGAAACATCTTAACGCGAAGCAGGGTTTAGGCGTTTTTCACTTTGGTCAACCCCAGGACCATGGGTTTTGTGCTCACAAACCAAAAATCAGATAGGCTGTATGAGGCGTTTCAACCAGTCACTAGTTGATACCGGATTTGTTCTTTGTAGTACCACACACACCATCTTGACTTCGGACAGGGATTTACAACATTATCTTTAGTTTGTGAAGGATATTCCAAAGACACATTTGGTTGATTATGCTTTCTGTTTTCACTCGTAAGCATTTGCACGTCATGCTCTTATCAATTCATAATTCAGGTGAGTCTTGTGGCTCCTTTTCTGAAGTGATGACACAGACCAATATTCTTTCAAATAGTTTTAATGAAACCAGAAAGCAAAGAAAGGAAAATAGATCTTTCAGATCATATGCTTCAAAATGAAAATTTCTTCATTACAAGGTACAATTTAGGAGGTTAGTTGTTGGCACATAACGCGACTGAGGCCAATACTAGATCGTCGCAAAATATCCAATCATGTCTTGACTGACACTCCAAGTAAGCATAACCTGTTTTTTGTTTACATTCATCAAGGTTATTGATGCCTTCTTGGGTATCCTACCTCTTTGCAACTGGTTTCAATTCTGGCTAAAAGCACTGTATTTGATAAGAAGTGGAAATATAGGTGTGTCAAGAGCTGGTTTAGTTGCAGCATTCACTTGTGAGTTACGTGCCATGTCAACATAGAGGGAACCACTGAAATATGATGCCACATTTGCCTGTGGAAATACAATTATGCATTTATAAAATATGTTGCATGCATTGAAGACGCAAGCGCATATATGTGTATGCAGGAAAAAGCTACATCTATAAGGTAACGAATAGATGCAGGTTATTCATACAAATTAACACTGGATAATGAAAGTGGATTGGGTTTGTCTTTTGTGCTCAGGAGAAATGAGTTAGTGGCATAGTGTTTTCAAGAACACCCAATCACTCATCACAATAAAGGCAACACATTCTTATTACCTAATGTTTAAAATTTTACACGGCTGAGCTACAATATTTGACACATAGAATACAAATTGAAGGGCATCTGCCGGAAATCCAGAAATTGTTAAATGTATTTTGTGTTTCCCTTACTCTAAATTAAATTTAACCTATCAAGCATTGTTCACAATAAAAAAATGAAAAGAGAAATGGGCCGCGATGGCCTCACACCAGTTCGCTCTCGAGCATCACCTGCTCCTCACGTAGCGGCTCACTTTGTGTCTCTGACTGGTCACGTGGAGGAAGATTCGTGTAACGGGAGACAACTCCTACGACCAGGCAATCACTAGCCACATTTACCATGGTGCGAAATCTATCTCTGGAGAAAGAGAATGAGAGAGTGTTTATGAGAGAGTAAATATCGTTTATGCCTTAGTAGACAGTTTTCCAATGTAACAAAGGGATGTGTATATCATCGAGTCTATGCCAGGCAAACCAGTTGAACATAATAATATATCATGTATTGCGAATACTGAAACAGTTTGATTCATCAACAGAATGAAGTAGAATGAAGTCATACAATCTCTGAGATCTATCGAAAAAATAATTTTTCCCTCAAGTTATACGAGATCTTACATATATAGAATTTTCTTTAGTTACACTCAAGGAAACCAGTAACTGTTCCCCCTCTATTCACATCAATATGCTCACTTTAAGGGTTCGCAGTTACAATTAGATTAAACGTAGTTATTGTCTATAGTGATATTAAAGTGAGGAACTCACAACAGCCATTCTACAGTGATCAGGAACGAGACGCCTCGATCCGGGAGTCCAACAGATTTAAGGACAAGCAGCAGGACAGCTAAACCCGCACCTGGCACACCAGCAGTTCCAACACTGCTGAGAATAGCTGTTAAACTGGAACAAATATTTCGATGTTTTAACTGTTGCAATTATGACATCTCAAATGACTAATATTATGTATAGTACTTCTCAAGCGGACTGTTGTTATCCCCCGCCGCGCGAAAGCGCGAAGCGGGGTATATAGTATTCACGACCGTCCGTACGTCCGTCCGTCCGTCCGTACGTCCCACCTGTTTGTTGCCGCGATATCTCAAGAACTAAACACTGGATTGTCTTCATATTTGGAACTATGGTGTATATACAGACTCCGCAGACACCAGTCGGTTTTGGTGACCTTGACCCCATTTTCAAGGTCACAGCAGGCATATCTGCTTTTGGAGTTGGAAAACGGTGTTGCCGCGATATCTCAAGAACTAAACACTGGATTGTCTTCATATTTGGAACTATGGTGTATATACAGACTCCGCAGACACCAGTCGGTTTTGGTGACCTTGATCCCATTTTCAAGGTCACAGCAGACAAATCTGCTTTTAGAGTTGGAAAACGGTGTTGCCGCGATATCTCAAGAACTAAACACTGGATTGTCTTCATATTTGGAACTATGGTGTATATACAGACTCCGCAGACACCAGTCGGTTTTGGTGACCTTGATCCCATTTTCAAGGTCACAGCAGACAAATCTGCTTTTAGAGTTGGAAAACGGTGTTGCCGCGATATCTCAAGAACTAAACACTGGATTGTCTTCATATTTGGAACTATGGTGTATATACAGACTCCGCAGACACCAGTCGGTTTTGGTGACCTTGATCCCATTTTAAAGGTCACAGCAGGCAAATCTGCTTTTGGAGTTAGAAAACGGTGTTGCCGCGATATCTCAAGAACTAATCGCTGGATTGTCTTCATATTTGGAACTATGGTGTATATACAGACACCGCATACACCTGTCAGATTTAGTGACCTTGACCCCATTTTCAAGGTCACAGCAGGCAAATCTGTTTTTGGAGTTGGAAAACGGTGTTGCCACAATATCTCAAGAACTAATCGCTGGATTGTCTTCATATTTGGTAGTATGGTGTACAGGCGGGGGATATTTCGTCACTCTGTGACAAATACTTGTTTGTTCACTTTTCACCATTTACCTTGGAACTAACTGTTTCAGATCATCAACATACCTTACAAGTATTACATCTCCAAATGACAGGCTGACTCCATTGTACTGTGCTATGAACACAGGCCCAATGGCAGCATACACAGCACCGGCGTCCATGTTGACTGTGGGAGTCAGGATGGTAGAGGTGGAAGCTATGTGGCTTATGCGGCTTATCGTGCCATATGAATGTCAATATGGACTATTACTATGATAAAGAAGACACCAAAAGACGTTTGGTAAATAAAACAACTTTCAAACTTTTGTCAGTGTAACAGGGGCATGAACATACCTAACAATTATTACATCTCCAAATGACAGGCTGACTCCATTGTACTGTGCTATGAACACAGGCCCAATGGCAGCATACACAGCACCGGCGTCCATGTTGACTGTGACTCCTACTGGGAGGACGAAACGGGAAATACGTGTGTCTATCTTCATCCGCTCCTCGACGCACTGCATCGTCACCGGCAGCGTGGCAGCGCTGCAAGCAGACAAAGTAATTATGTACATGAGGCTGAGACTCACGTTCGATACAAGTCCTTTTCTGATCAGTGCACACTACCTTGCAATTGAATTATAGATCTGCATTTCCCTTTGAAGTTTTGTCATGGGGGATGCTGTGCTTCAGATGTTATTTCACAGATACGTTTATAAACAACAGAGGCATTCAAAACCTTGAGCAACAGTAAACATTGCACAATTAATATATGTTCCGCATGAAAACAATATGTGGACATGTAAACCCCCCTATAGTGAATGTACGAGGGAAATTTAAACAAAATAACCCAGCACCACACCACATGCTATACATGATGACAGTTCACATAACAACTGGTGTCATCACCGTTTGATAGTGATTCATACACACACGCTTATATGGTCGGAATCGCACAATCGGTATTGGATGTGGACGGGGTTTAGTCGCCTTTAATTACATGCTTAAGAATATATGATGACAACTGACTTTACAAGTATTGGAGCACATTATACAATACTGGTACTTAGTAATGTGAAAGCATGTGACCAAGTAATTGTCACATGCACAGTGGGTTCACTGATAAGTCAAGAAAATAATATTCTGGCAATAATCGCCCAAACAATTGAACTGTTTTGCGAATAAATATACCAAATATGATGAGCAAATGCATCCATTGTTTCACATAATAAACATGTGCCTGCACATACATCAACGATTCGAATAGAGGCTATTACTTGTTAAGATGACAAAATAATGAGGATGATGTTCTATGTCCACTGGCAAGATATGGTACCAATTTTCACTGATTGAAATGCCACCGACATTTGGTATCGTATGATGTAAATCTCAATTTTCATACCGGTAGAGTTTGCCTTACCTCAGACACTGACTACGATGTAACCATGATTTACAAAGACATCAAAGCTGACTTTGGACTCATCTTGATGACATTTTTTTCAAAGTGCCTCGTCCAAGGAAAGGTAAGTACACAGTTTAGTGACAAATATTTAATACTTTCTGAGAAAGTGTAATCACAACCTCTTATGCCCAATACATTCGCATTGTAGACATGAGAAACATAACCGGCAGAAATGGAGGCAGTCAAATTCAGATAAAACCATAGCCATGTAACTGAAACCGAGTTAAGATGTAGCTGGGGAAGTTATACCTGGAGGCAGTAGCAAAGGCTGTCAGCAGAGCTTGTATTACTTTGAGGTATATGGCAAATGGGTTTTTTCTTGTCAGGATGAAATACAAGCCTGGAAGGACCACCAGTGAATGGATTGCCAATCCGGCCAACTCAGTTGCAATGTAGATAGCCAGTGTTTGTCCAGTCTCCGTCATGTCAGTTGTGGACATTATCTGGCCCATGATGAGAAACAGTATGCCAAGTGGTGAATACCTGGAGCATAAAAAATGGACATGGACAAGCATGGACATTCATTGCTGCCACATTGGCAGTTTGCATCCTCGCTTAAACCTTTTCTAAATAAATAATGTACTATCACCAATTTTGTATGTATGTTACTTTTCCCGGGACCAAATGAAAAATATGATTGACCTGTATATTTACAGATAAATCCGAAAACCTTTAAATGATACTGTGCCACATGAAGAACATATCAGGTGTGAAAGGTTACATGTAATGTTGAGATGTCAGTTGAAGTTGAGTCTACTCACCACATAACAAGTCTGATCATTTTTAGGGTGATGGTATTAATGACAGTAAAGAACTCTGTCACCACTGTTCCACTACGACCGAGTTGGCTGAGAGTCACACCAAAAACAATGCAGTACATAAGTACTCCTGTAAGGAGAATATTAGGGAATTAAAGAACATCACACATAATACCCATGATATACCCATGACAAACTATATTGTCAGACATTTACTGATTTCCGAATGGCCGTCCATGTGCACATTCATTGAGAAAGGATAAAACAGGATTTGATTTGGATCTAAACATTAGTGTAGCTGGTTAAACTTAGGTCACGGCTACTGTCAATATATACATTTCAATCAATGCAACCCTTCCCCACCGACAGTATAGTGAGGAAATGTTCAGCACGAGGTAGTGCGGGTCATTCATTCTGTACAATCGGCACATGCACGTATTAATAAAAGAGACGATCCCGACTATAACATGAGCAAGGGGTAATGAATCACTATCAAATATTGATGACACCATTTCTTTGCGACTCCGTGAAGATCCGGGGTAGAATAGGTCTCCAGCAACCCATGCTTGCCGTAAAAGGCGACTATGTTTGTCGTAAACGGGATCGGGTGGTCAGGCTCGCTGACTTGGTTGATGCATGTCATCGATCCCAATTGCGTGTATCGATGCGCATGATGTCAGTCACTGGATTGTCTGGTCCAGACTCGATTATTTACAGACCGCCGTCATATAGCTGGAATATTGCTGAGTGCGGCGTTAAACAACAAACCAACCAACCAAATCTCAAGTTCACAGTTTTCGTATCAGTTGTGTTCAGTTTGAGATTGCCCTTCAGATGCCTTCAAATTAGTAGTGACCTCCTGGCCACCAGCCTTGATCACGTCCGGGGTCACAGCCTTTGCCTCGCTCGAAGCACTTTTTGTTTCCATTTCGGAACTGGTTTTCTTTGTCGTTAATTTGACCCCCTTAATTATAGGTGAGGTGAGGTGAAATAGGGTTTAACGTCGCGTCCCTTAATTAGAGGGTTTGAAGTCAAGACTTTGGATTAATCTCTTTAAAGCCAAAATAAGGTTTAGAAATGAAAAGGGCTTTTGAAACCTAAGGTTTGAAATGAAATGTTTCTAAACCCAGGCTTTGAATTACGGCAGCTAAATATATAGGTGTGTTGTTTCAAAATCTGGACTTCGACGGGGTGTTTCATAATCTGGGTTTTGAAGTTTAGCCAGTAACCAATTACTTCAGCAATCTAGGTTTATGGAGCCTCACACATTGCCGACCAATATGCTGATATGTTTATAAAGTGGAAATAATTCCATGTCGACAGCGACAAATATATCTCTCAATTTCCAGAATAGTTACTTTTAAGTGCAACAAAATACTTCATTTAAAATTGAATTGTGAGCAAACAAAAAGGAGTTCCAGCCGTGTCAAAATATTTTTATGATAATGATATGTTCCTGTTATTAAATGTAAAAGTAAATGGTTAGACATTGGTGGCATGCAACTTTCCATGACATTCTCCAATGTGCACTTCTGCATTCCACTTCCCAAAGGCGGATTTTGGACTCTCTGTACATGTTGTTTGATCATTAAGAATACCTAAGATATTTACACCATCAACCAGTTGTGTTTTTCTTGTTGAGGATAGTTGATTCGTCATGTTGACTTCTGTAGAATTTCCAGTATCATTCAAGAAATCAGAACTGTAGCTGCCACCATCCTCTGTCCCTGTCACGGTGCTTGAGTGTTGGGATGTTGCAGCAACTATGTTGTCTGGCACTATGTTCCTAAAGAATAATGTATGAGTGAACGTGGTTTGGAATTGATTTCAATGTTTACACCGTAGAATATGTTCATGGTGTGAGAAGCAAGACCAACCAGCTTCAAGGATAAGAAACTTAACAAATACACGTATATGGAACGATTACATTCACAATTCTAACGTTACCAGCACATGCATTGGCCCTCCTTAAATGTTGTATTCAAACCAAGATGTTGCATCAAAGAACTCGTGGATGTATTTCTGGGACAGATTTATCCCACAGAGCATGTTTGGTCTAATGATCATTCTCACAACTAAAGTAGGTATGTTGGAATGAATGATTTTTGTTAGGTACAGATTTTGTAATGGACCATGTGATATATACGTATAGTCCTTCTATGTATTAAGTAAGAAAAAACTAGCACAACACTAAAATAGCATTCTTTGTCAGATATTTGTTCAACTTGCAAAAAAAGCAAATGTATACATATATGTCTGAAATAACACATACACTTGTTCTTTAGTGAACATCTTCAGTATACATGTGACATGCACCTATTTCTCGTAAATATCTTACCTTAACAAGTGCAAAAAAATATCAATTGTTGACGTCATGGCGTTGTTGTGTGATATATAGGCTGTTGACGAGTCTGAGTATGCTCCAGGTTTGATGGTCAGGACTACTGTCAAGCCAACCACTGTTGCCACAATAGAGGTACTTGCGTAATAAACCATAGACAGTACACCTATCCTTCCGGCAGATGATCCTTTCATATCCCCAAGACCTTTGAGACAGCATTGGATTCACTTCATAGTTATACAGATATAGTTTACATCGCAAAAAGAGCTTTTATATTATATATTATATCAAATCAGTGTTAAACATGTGATGCTTGCAAAAGGAACTAGCAAAGACATATTGCTGAGACGTACACGTTACATTAAATGTATGATGAAACATATATACATTTAAAATAACTGTTTACAAGGGAAACGCAGGTAAACACGCATGTGACTTTATCGTTTCTTGCAATTGTAAGAGTTAATGTGTAAGTAAATTTGGTTTATCGTTGCTTAGAAAAGTAGTGCAAGTATTTCAGTATGTGTCACTAACATGGGAGGAATGCCTTTGTCACGTAGATATTAAACGTATATTGCTTTCGTGAAACGTTTATGTAAGGAGAATCATTGTGAATCAAGGATCCCTAACGACCTCCATCTGATTCCAGCGCCCAATCAGAGACGCAATTCTGCAGAGGATGAATCACATAGATTTCTACATAACGGTATCAGGTCCTAGGAATAATACGCTCACTGGCCATGCCATGAATATTTTCCATGTAATAACCCTTTACAATTCTTAGCTGTATGGGAAACAGCTCCGGTTGGAAACATTGAGGGATAGCCGTATTATGTAAACAATTTATCTTATGGTCTCTTTTCCCCCTTTCATCCTATAACGATGACAAGAACGTAGAAACATCACCTGTAATGATACTAGCTATTATCAGAGGCAGCATCAGCATCTTCAGCATACGAAGGAAAAGCTCTCCAGGAAACTGCACAAGATGAATAGTGTCAGAGGACGGCTTGAGGGGCCGGCACACCATCCCAGCAACAATTCCCAGTACAACAGCGAGAAGTGTAGAGATGAGGAGAATGTTGTGCCGGAGGAACTGAAGGACCTTCATCTGCCATAAGACCAAAAGAATGGTTATACATTTATCAACATACCGATTGTAAATAGATGACGTTTTGTCTTTAAGTACGACAACTCCGGTGCTCACTGTGCACGAATCGTCAAAACTCATTTCAAGCAGCACAACATCCATAGAATACCATGGTCAGCAATAAGCCCAGACCCTACCCCTATTGAAGACGCTTAGGGCATGAAAGGGAGACGTGTGCGTCAAGGTCATAGGCTTCCGACCATGTTGACTGAACTTGGCAGGACGCTGCAAGAAGAGTGGGTAGACTCCCTAAATCGCCATTGGGAGACTCATACGCTGTATGCCTCTTCGAGTGAAAATGAATGTTTGACAAATCGTGGTGGTATAACCCACAACTGATCCAAGATTTCCCATCTTACCCCCATCGTCCTTCAAGCTCGCTGGCAGCCATAACATCTACTGTTATACTTGACTACCGGCTTTAACGTGTCGTAAATTCGTTTATTGTTATCATACAACTATTACCAGAAACTAATATCTGTGAATATCCCCCCCTTTGACCGGAAATGTTTTAATGGTGTAAGTGGAGGAAAAGGTTGTTCAGTTGTAGTTATTTTGTAAATTGTCATTCAAGGACTATAGCAAAAGTAAGCACCTCAATATACACGTAATTCGTACGCAATTCGCATTAGTAAAACTTTTCTGTCTCTGAATTTTGCAGATGACAGATGCTCTCAGCTGGAGTGGTGTGAGTGAGTGAGTGAGTGAGTTGGGTTAAACGCCGCTTTCAACTGTTACAGTATTCCAGTTTTATCGCGGCGTGTCAGCTTAATGCTATAGGAAAGCCCGAAGAAATGCAAGTCTGAGACGTTTACCGCTTTGGCGAAACCCACGAGCATGGGGGTGGTGCAGATATATATAGAAACATAATAGCGGCGAACCGGGATTCGAACCCACAATCGTAGATTTCTGGCGTGCCCAAGGGACGCAACTCTGCACAGCCTTAGACGACTGGGCAACCTGTGCCCCCTCATCTGGACCGGAGGAGCTCGACCATTTTAACCATCTTATATTATAAACTACGCGACAAAAGACAGTTTAGGTTGGCATTTTGTAATTTTCCTAAAAACCGCCATAACTAGTGGAAAGTGGGTATGAGGAATATGACTGCCCAGGAACAGGTACAAAAAAACAACCACCCGAACGCGCCACCTTTGACGGCGCTCGTGCGGTGACCAAAAAATGGTGAAACGGGTTTCCCACCTATGGCATAAACTGCACGTACATGTTAGCTGTTTAAATGCATTCGTCTGCAGGGTATAACCACACGTGATGAAAACACACAAAAGAAATGCCACGTCTGTCACATGAGCAGAGAAAGAGAGAGTCATCGGTATGGCCGAAATGGGGGCAACACAGGTCCAAATTGTCAGAAGGTTTGGTTGTACACAATTGACAGTAGCCAGGCTGATTCAACGGTACAGACTGACAGGGAGGACACAGAACAGGCCTAGAAGCGGACGACCCCGAGTGACAACACCACTGGAAGACGGTCAGATACGGCTCATTCACCTTCGAAACAGACGGCGACGGCAGCAACAGCGTTGGGACATCCCATTAGCCAACGTACAGTACTACGACGACTCCGTGCTGCTGGAATCCGAGCGTATCGTCCTTTCCGAGGAATGGTCGTGACTGCTCAACTTCGACGCCTGAGACTGCGATGGGCGAGGCAGGTTCGACGCTGGCAAGTGCGAAAATGGCGTCGAGTGTTGTGTACTGATGAAAGTCGGTTTAACTTGTTTCGAAATGACGGCAGAGAACGAATTTATCGACGCAGAGGGGAACGTTTGGCTCCGGCGTGTATCCATTCCATTCGGCGGGGGAGGTGTCATGGTATGAGGCGGTATTTGTGGAGATCAGAAGACTGATTTGGTGATACAACAGAGAAACCGGAACGCTGTGCAGTACAGAGACCAAATGTTGCAGCCAGTTGTGCTTCCGTTCTTACAAAACCAACAGCAGGGGACATTGTTTCATCACGACAATGCCAGGTCCCATACTGCAAGACTGACTCGGAACTTTCTAAACCAGCAGAACGTTGACGTTTTGCCCTTGCCTGCCCACTCACCCTATAATGAATCCTATTGAACATCTGAGGGACCATCTTGACAGACAGACATCTTAGAGCACGTCATCAACCTCCCGTCAACAGACATGAATTGGCCCTGAGAGACGAGTGGCAACGGATTCCAGTCCACGTCATCAGAAGACTGACGTCATCGATGAGGCGGCGTATCACAGCATGCATTGAGGCAGCTGGATGTCATACACGCTATAGAAGGCAACTGTGTCGACAATGAACTTGTAGTGTGTCTGACAATTTTTTGGTGACATTTCAGACAACTTTTGAAAATGAAATTTCTTACCCCACCATTGTTTACCTTGAGCTAACATTACCTGTGATTGCACAATTTCATTCAAACTATGGTTGATCAATCATTTGTTACCCCTCCCTAGATTATATTATAATTCACAAAACCTCTTCTTGTTATTTTTTTCTCGTTCATCGAACTCGACCTATACTTTCTTTTGCCGCCCAGTTTATATCCTTAACAATACGAAGGTGTTATCATGATATGCTTTTCAGTGATCCAATCATATACTTTTCACCACTTTTGTCGCTAGAATTTTGCCTGTTACACCAGATGGAATCCGTTTCGGATGGATTATTCTCTGTTGATGACATTCTGGCAGAATTATCATTATTTCATGTTTATATTCTTTATCTAGTGCCAAATGGAACCAAACAGAAGCAGTGATGATTGCTATTTCGTGAAAAATGTCAGCATGTGTGCTTTGTTACACTACGGAAACTTGTTATGCATTCTATGCTTTTAATACTGAGTTTCGGAGATGTGTTGGACGTTTAATGAATTGTCACAGTTTATGTCTCTATCAGATTCATGAGCATGCCGACAACCAGTATTATGATGGCTAGCAAACAGACACTCCCGTGATATTACATAAATAAGACCACCTCCGTGGTCTAGTGGTAGAGCGTCCGTCCGGAGAGCGAAAGGTCCGCGTCATACCAAAAGACGTTAAGAAATGGTACTTATTCTTACCCTGTCTGGCTCGGCATTAACACACACACACACACACACACACACACACACACACACACACACACACACACACGTGCATGCACGTCGCTATATAAGTGCAATAATCTTGGACGCGACGTTAAACCCCATTTCACCCCACCTATCAATTACCAAAGATCATTAACAAATGAATCTTCGCGGGGAGAAAAGTAAGTTGTATGTTACACGCAGAATACAATAATGACCACCCGATCCAATAAAGTCGCCTTGTCCGAAAACACGAAGTCAAGAGGGGGAATAACTAAAACATCCACAAGTATATGTTCATTAAGACCTTGGTAACGCGTGGTCCTGAATAGTGGCAATATCGGGGCAGTGTCCCATGCTTGTCGTAGAATCCGTTGGGGTGGATAAAGCGTGTGACTTGCCTGATGTTGCAATTCTGTGTCACTCCTCATGCAGTTCTCTTTCACTGTAACTTGGCAACACTCGGTCATAATATCGATATGCTGCTGCATTAGACATCATTCTCTCCTGAGTTTAGTTTAACGCCTATTTGAACATTATTGCACTTATATCACGACATGTCGGCTTAATGTTCGGGGAAAGCTGGAAGTGATGGTAGGTCAAAGCAGGTCTTGGGGCTATACCACTGTGGTGAAATCCACGAGCACTGATATATATGTGGTGCACAAAAACGTTGATACATTAGCGGGGCGAATCTGGATTCCAACCCGAATTGCGGCGCCATAGAAGGCTAGGCCACCCGTGCCTCCAGCACATATGTGATCATATACATAGGACAAATCATTGTATGATTCCAACTATATGGTAAGCATGTGTCCATGAATCTCTATCCATTCCCGACCATGCCAAATGGGAAAGCGGTGTTGTACTGGTTGCAACTTTAAAGCTAAATACAGGTCAGTCAAATTTACGTACCATGACACAATCAGAATGCTTATTTTAAAGATATGGTTGGAAACACGCTCCTCTGAGACGTCATTTGGATAATGTGAGAGGTTCTTTTGACACCCGTTGTAATATATTCTTGTTTTCTGACCACGTCTTGGTCCCAAGCTAATGCTGGAGTATAAAATAGTATTCTTTTGTCTATGTTATCATTATGGTTATTGTGCCACCTACCTCAATAAGGGCAGTATGTACGGCAACACCACAGAAGAAATATCTTCTTTTGTGACGAGAAAACACCAAACAGGCAAGCCATTCTCTTTTGAGGTAATGTAATGAAAACACGAAAATTACTGACGTGTTACCCAATACAATCTTCACATCAAATTAGAATTTGATAAAAACTGATAGATCCCACTGATATGAAAGCATAAGTTACGGAAGAATATCATGTTGTAATATTCTGGAATGGATTCGTACACGAACATAGTGTCGTGACTATGTGGATGAAAATGTTAATATACATGCATACTGTTTGCATGTTATTAATTGATATGTAGCACAAACAAGAGGCCATAATCCACGTTAACCATGCCTAGATCAAAGGATTCAGACTTATGTGTTGTTAAATCTTAAGTCTAACAGTCTAACGTTACCGGATGATAATACCTGTGCTGTGCTGGCGAAAAAGGTGTGATACAAGAAAGGCACCATTTGTATATTTCACACATTATACAGAGAAAAGACCAAAAAGTTTTAAATGTATGTATTTCCACTCAATCCATTTACTTATAGATACGGGCGAAAGTCTCACCCACCTGATCTCATCTCACCTTGTTATACTTGAATTTTTGAGGTCTGAGGCATGAACTATCTGGAGCTGCGCTGTTACAAGCGACTGGCATTTGATCCTGAAGGGGGCTAAATTGTACACATGATTTAGCACATTATCGAGGTTGGGCAAAGTCACGTTGCGGGGACATCGAGCTGTGTGAGCGTGTTTGTCAGGCTGTTAAAATAGCTTCCGATTTGCTGATATGATGTTACATACCAATTGCACCAATGGACTGTTGGACGTCAGTCATTTGTATCTACAATATAACCACACCAAATCTACAAGAGCCAACCTATTGATTCAACTATGATCTATGGACATATGGTCACTCAAATCAACTGAACACAGTGGGACCTCATGTTTCATGGTTACCTGAAATGCTATATTAAAGATATCAAAAAAGAATTCAAACGATGACAGACAGCCGTCAAATTGACGAGTGACGTGGTAATTGTTCAAAGGAACGCGGTGAATGAATGGACAATCAACTATGACATCCATGACATTAACATTGACTCATGATAGATGACATATCCTCCAAGAGATCTTGATTAGTTAGTCACATGCCGAAAATAACATTGATTCTGAGTTTGAACTTTTGTTTCTTGATGTGGTTTGCCTGCAGACAGGACTACTTGCCCCCCAATTCATGGAATGTGTCTCGATTTAGACAATTGTATGTTTCGCTAAAGCCAAATTAGATCAAGTCGATTGTAAAAGTATCCCATTGTTTAAACTTTTTTGAAATACGAGAACTACGAAATGCGGCAGGAAATCAGGTAGTATATCAGATGCTAAGATGAACGATTAGAAAATTCCCAGCAAATGACGAATACACTGAAAACATTACATCAACGATCTAATTAAGGCCAAAGTCGCAAGTTGCATGTGCTTTTGAAACATTTTTTAACCTTACTTTTCTGTCAGGAATAGGGATATTTAATGTTTTCTTCTTTAAATATAGCATCTTCGTGACGATCTCGTTAAAATAGTTGAGACGTGAGTGAAAATGTTTGAGAGAACACCATTGTGAAATGTGGCTAGGAAAATAGTATGTGTTGCCATAAAGATGACTAGGGCTAATAATGTGTTAGGAAATTTGTTATTTAAGCATGACAGTAAGGTGAGGTGAAATTGGGTTTAACGTCGCGTCCAAGATTATTGCACTTATATAGCGACGTGCATGCACGTGTATGTGTGTGTGTGGCTGCTTGTACTAGTCCGGACTGATGCCGATTTATAGTGCTAGCTCACTGAGATACCATGCCGCAGTTTAACATGAATATCCCACTCAGACACAGTATACTGACTCCGAGCCGACCAGTCCTTGTTTTAGCCCCTTAATGCCGAGCGCCAGACAGGGTAACAACAAGTACAATCTTTTAACGTCTTTTTGTATGACGCGGCCCGGGATCGAACACCGGACCTTCCGCTCTCCGGGCGGACGCTCTACCACAAGACCACGGAGGCGGTCCATGACAGTAAGTTTAGAACTTACGCAAAATATATTTGAACCCATATTCCTGAAGATGTTAATTGGATTTGTTCAAACTTCGTATATTTGTCCTATCCGTCTAGATCTCGGATTGCATAGGTTAAGCATGAAATGAACACTAACAGTTGCACATGTGACCTCTACTGTCACCTCAATTATAATTGTTTTCCAGAACAATTATTATTCTCAAACAGGTTTTAAAAAACACAATTGTATAGTTTTCAATAAAGAGATGTCAGATCATTCTGGTAAATGAACACTAACACTAAGGTGGAAGTGTAGCCCATAGTGCTACTATATTATAACACAAGGTGTTACATTTGCATCTACTAGTGACCGTTTGCCTAATATCACTTGTGTTGAAAGTGGGGCAATTGGTACGCTTTTGAAAACCAGTTTTAAGATATTTGTGTAGCCAAAATCGTAACACCTCTAATATGAAGCCGTCACTTAAGTATGGTGAAGGTAAATGATTTATGTATATTTCATCGAAAACATTTTACAATTAGTTTCAACAAGAAACGGTGTTTGTTTGAAAAACACTGAAGCAACCTCTCTATTCATAACTAAGGTTTCAACCTCTGCATGACTTTGTCATTCAGGCGAATTTCCGTCAGTTAGTCACTAGGTACCGCGATTTTAGTATTGAGATAACAAGTTTCATGAAATTATACCGAGAAGTGTCTTCTCAAGATTTGTAACAAGATTTAATGTACCAGAATGACCTTCGAGTGACCTTTCTGTGACCTTCACCCTGATATAAAATAAATAACAATGTCTTCAGAAACAAATTAGGCATGTACTAACACTATCTCAGCGAACAGAGAAAAAATGTGAATAATGCGGCCTCTGCGTGACCTTGGCCTTCAAACGGCACTGGGCTCGCAACCTCAGTGTAAAGGTTGCAATATGAACCCCTAGTGATTCAGTGACACCAACAGTTGCGGATGGTGTTTAAAGTTACACTAAGAATTAGGTGAACACTTGGGGTTGTAACAATGCTTCAAGTTGTTGGAATTCACCGAGGGGTACCTAATATGTTAATATGTGACTCAGTCAGTGATTTCAGACTTATGAACAGGGTCCAAACAGGGTCCAGACACAAAACGTTAATAATCGGTCCTTCACAGGTTTCAGTTAATCAGAAAACAAGCTTCAAGAAATCGAGCCGAAACAGCCAAACAAGCCGCTGTTTATCAGCCAGCAGGCCACCTGAGTTGAAGTTACTAATCCGACGATTAGAAAGGGTACCTTTGCAGGTAAACTTCATGATCGATGACTAGATGTCGTACCACCGTTAACAAAACAAAATATTGCAACCAGACGCCAACGGTGATTAAAGCTTAGAAAGTGTGATTTAATGGTGTAAGTGGAGGAATAGGTCGTTCAGTTGTAGTTTGGAAATGTTTTAGTCAAGAACAAAGCCATATGATGTCTGATTTGTTTGGTTCATACACGTACTTCGTACGCAATTCGCATAAGTAAAACGCTTCTGTCTCTGAATTTCGCAGATGACAGGTGCTCTCACCTGGAGTGGAGTGAGTGAGTGGGTTGGGTTTAACGCCGCTTTCAACAGTATTCCAGTTTTATCGCGGCATGTGAGCTAATTGTGGGAGGAAAGCCCGAGGTGATGCAAGTCTGAAATGTTTACCACTTTGGTGAAACCCACGAGCACGGGAATGGTGCAGACCGGAATTCGAACCCACAATCATAGATTTCTGGCGTGCCCAAGGGATCCAACTGTGCACAGCGAATCGAGGCGCCTAAGACGACTGGGCCACCCGTGCCCCCTCATCTGGACTGGAGGAGGTCGTCCATTTTAACCATCTTTTATTATATATCCTTAACAATACGAAAGTGTTATCATGAAATGCTTTTCAGTGATCCTTTCATATAAGTTTCACCACTTTTGTCGCTAGTATTTTGCCTGTTACACCAGATGGAATCCGTTTCGGATGGATTATTCTCTGTTGATGCCGTTCTGGCAGAATTCTAATGTCTGTGTTTCATTATTTCATGTTTATATTCTTTATCTAGTGCCAAATTATATCATTTACGAAACCGAACAGAAGCAGTGATGATTGCTATTTCGTGAAATATGTCAGCATGTGTGCTTTGTTTTACTACGGAAACGTGTTACGCATACTATGCTTTTGATACTGAGTTTGAATTGAGTCATGAATTGTCACAGTTTATGTCTCTCGATTGCATCAGATTTTTCACAATTCATGAGCATGCCGACAACCATTATTATGATGGCCAGCAAACTGACACTCCCGTGATAATACATAAATTAGACCACCTCCGTGTTCTAGTTGTAGAGCGTCCGCCCGCGTCATACCAAAAGACGTTAAAATATGGCACTTGTTGTTACCCTGTCTGGCGCTCGGCATAAAGGGGCTAAAAGAAGCACTGGTCGGCTCGGAGTCAGTATACCGTGTCTGAGTGGGATATTCATTTAAAACTGGCACTATAGGCGTAGATTTGTGACCTGGCTGATGTTGCAATTTTGTGTCAATTCTCATGTAGTTCTCTTCCAGCGTAACTTGCATAGGCATGAAATGAGCTATCGCATCAAGCATAAACACCACCTAAACATAACGTTCCCATGATCTATACATGTTTCAATAAAGTTCATATCATCAGGAAATAAGTCAAAGGTGGATAGGATTTATAATATATATTGAATTTAGATGTGCATATCAGATTCACAGGCACTTGCATAACACCACCAGGACTTACAACGGACTTGGTCCAATATTAACATAACAATGTACAAATAAACTAAACTTGGTTAATGGAGACAAGGCAAACTGAGATCTTTGACCACAAGCAGCACAACTTGTAACGTGAAGGGTTACAAATCAAAGGTTCGTATCCCCTAAAGGTTTAAATAGTGGGGAGTTACTAAATGTGTTGTTGGCGTAAGACTAACAGTATTTCTCTCATACAGGAAACAAAAGCTGACAATGAACGTATCTGATTTCGGTTAAGCATTTCCCCGTTCAAGGTTATTACACATATATACATGTCGTATGGAAACGAAGAGGTACTCTTATCTCAGTAGCGACCACGGTCAACTGATGTGAGCAATACTGGATGTGACATATGGTCCAAACACATGGATTTTTCCTTTATTATGCTTAGCACAATTAGGGCATAATGTTCCAATAGGATGTACTTTTTAATATTGCACATATGGAGTTGCTGTCTTTTATTGCTAATAGGGAAGCACCTGTCACCACTCTCTCTACTGACTCTTAATAACATGTGGTGTTATTTCAGGTGTTATTATGAGCATTACACACTATTACAAGCCATGTAATCTTGAGCAGTACACACTATTACAAGCCATGTAATCTTGAGCAGTACACACTATTACAAGCCATGTAATCTTGAGCAGTACACACTATTACAAGCCATGTAATCTTGAGCAGTACACACTATTACAAGCCATGTAATCTTGAGCAGTACACACTATTACAAGCCATGTAATCTTGAGCAGTACACACTATTACAAGCCATGTAATCTTGAGCAGTACACACTATTTCGTATATTTCTACAGGGGTTCGTCGGC